TATTTTGCTAGGTCACATAGCTTTTCTTTTTTCCTAGTGTCCATACTAACTAAATAAAACAATCAATCAGCAAAATTTCTAAGCATGTCACTTCTATGTGCATCTGCCTGGTAATGAGGGTGTCCATTCTAAAAGTTTAATTTTTATGAGTAAAGTGAAATGTTCCTCGATACTTTGAGTAAAATTAAGGAACCGATATAGTGTAGAAAGTATGTCTAAATACTTTACAGATTAAGAGTCCGATTGACCGTAATTTTCTAAGGATACAATGTACTTAATTAGTTATTTTATACATTAATTTTAGAATGAATTCTTTTATTCTGAGAAATGAAAAGCATCTTCTGTTTCTTCTGTTTTGGTGGCGTTAAACTGAAGTCATTTCTGGAACATTTTCCCTTCTCTATGTGAGTTACAAACTAATCTCAGTAATAATAACTTACTCTAAAGAAAAAAAGTTCGATATAGCTTAACCAGTTTGAACACTTAGATCAGCGACCTAAAGTGCAAAGTCTTAGCTCAAAAAGTAAATAAATTCACAAATTGTGATCGTTACAGTTGTAATGACGATGTCGATTAGGAGTTGAATTAGGTTGGTGAAGATTTGTGGCACTAAGACCGTAGTGTTTAAGCAGCTGTCAAATCACTTGCTGGTCGACCCTGTGGAACGCCTTTTCAAAATCGATGAAGCTGATATAGAGAGTTGACTGCCATTGTATGCTCTGTTCGATGATGATGCGTATCGTGGTGTTGTAATTTGATTCACACATGATTTGTTTTTCCAGTTGTCAGTCAGTCAGGCAGGCAGGCAGACAGGCAGCCAGTTCCCGTCCTAATTCTGAATCCAGGACATTTGTTACTCTCTCCAGGATGATGTGGCTTCATATTTTGCTTGCTTGGGATGGACAGCGTCATGATTCTCGCCAGTTCTTGCAAGGAAATATGTCTGCCTTGTTTGCGAGTTTGACAAGCTGGCCATTCTTCCAGTCGATCGGCGTGTACCTTCCCTTCCGTCCTCCCAAACCTCCTGCAGTTGTGGTGTGAGCATGTTCGCTGTTGTCCCCACCTCTCTCCTCAGTGTTTCTGGTCGGAATCCATCTGGTCCTGTTGCTTTCCTGGATTTCAGCAGTTTTGTGGCGTTCAGGACTGCACTCCTGATTTTGTTGGAGGGCTGTATTAACTGGCAATTCCGTGACTGCTCTGCTGGTGGTATTTCTGGACGAGATGCAGGTGGTTGTGGTGGTGGTCGATTCGAGAGTTTTCTGAAGTGGTCAGACAATCGATTCATTTGCTCCTCCACTTTGGTAACCAGCTTTTCTTCACTACCTCTCACTGGTTTCATCTGCGTTGATCTCTTCCCTCCCAGATACTAACCTGGTTGTTTGACATAGTGTTGTCAGATCTCTGTCTCTCCTACCTGCAGCCTGCAGCCTACAGCCTCTTCTGCTGCTTCAGTTGCAAGTGTGTTGCAGAAGTGTGTTGTTTCGTTGTGCGCACTCCTCTTCACTTGTTTGTCCATTGTAGTGTCCAGTGTTTTATAGGTTGTGTTCAGTTCCCCTTCTCGTTGTTCATCCCTTCATTTCTGCACTGCACTGCACTGCACTGCACTGCACTGCACTGCACTGCAATGCAATGCAATGCAATGCACTGCACTGGTTCATCTCCATCGCCATCATCATCCCCGTCATCTTCCTCTTCCTCATCCACTAGCCTCCATGTATCCGTCGAGATACATTCCACTTCTCATCTCGCTTCTTCTTCCTTCCTGATACCGTTATGCAGGTTTCCTTCCACACGGCTTTCAGAGAGCTCCAGTGTTATTCCACACAGGTTTCTTCAGACATCTCACCTAATGTCTCCCATCTTGTCCTAATGACTGACTGGCTGACGTGAAGATCTCCTTCATAGTTTCGTCATTCTGTTCACTTTCTGTTCTGCGTGGCCAACTTCAACTGTCGTCTAACATCACCAACTTCTCTGAAGGCTTTCAACTTGATTTGGAAGGTAGGTTCCTTGCAGCAGATAGTGATGTGAAGCCACATCTGCTCATCTTCTTCATCTGACCTTGTGTCCTGTAGGCTGATTGTGTCTCCATCTCCACTTTCTTCACACTGAGATGACGTCCATGTAATATGTTTAGTGTGTCCCAGTGTGTCTGGTGTCTGGCGAAATCAAATCCATGTCTCTCGCTTTGTGAATATCCTTGATGTTGTACACACTGCCTCCAATCACCAAGTGATCGAGTGTGCAGAGCTCTTCAAACACTTCTCCACTCCCATTCATCATGTCACCGAGTGCTTCTCGACCCATGATCTGTTTGTTCTCTTCCTATCTTGTCTGCTCCCAGTTTGGCATTGAAATATGTCACCCATGAGAGTGGATTCGGATGTCGTCAACTGGTGTGCGGTCTTGTCCATCACTGATTGCAGTTGTCTACAGAATTCGTCCTCCTTCTCTTCTCCTCACCTGCATTGTTTGTAGGTGCGTGGCGTAGCATTGCATGATTGTGACTTTCCCTTATTTTGAGTTGCATTTTGCTGTCATGATCGTGATGCTGGAGGAGATGGTTTCCACTGCATGAGCGAGAGAGAGAGAGAGAGAGACTTCGATGCTCTTGTGATGGGGAAGTCATAATATCCACTCGAAAACTCAGTGTGCTGTGCTCGTGGTTGTTGTCTGGGTGACAATATCGGAGTAGATAATTTACTTCTCTCCAGTTGACAGGTTGGAGAGTCCACTTCCACTGCATCTGGTTTCGGAGGTTCCCAGCCTAGCATTTCTATGTTATATCTTCTCATCTCTTTTGCAATATGTGTGTGAGCTTGCTAGGTTCAAACATTGTTCGGACAATCGATGTTTCCATGTCCGCTTTCGCTTTCATTGAGAGATGGCTTTCACCAGCTGACGTGATTTTGTCTGTCTGACTCCAGTGAGGAATCAGTTTATTTATATATTTTATATTTGCTTTGTGTTTTGAAGTTTGTTTAGTGATTGAGTTGGTTTTGCTGTGTAGTGTTGGTAGGCGTCTGTGCTACCTACGGTGTTTATCCGTGCTTAGGACCTTGTAGTAACTTGAGATCTTGTTAACTGGGCGAATTTAGTTTCACAATGCGGATGTGAAATTTATGACTATTATTATGTCGAATGTGGCAGATATGCTTAACTTGGCTGAATACGAAAATGGCAAGTAATTTATAAACGATAATGAATTGTTTTACTTGTAGTCTCATATATGTGAAACAATCATTAGGAATGTTTTCTAAATAAGAGTTAATGTCTGTTTTGGAAAGCTGTTCATTTTGTGGTTTTTGTCACAACTATTTCAAAGTTGTAATGTTGTTTCAAACTATTTACTTTGAGATAGTAGAACTGAGAATATGACTGGAAAAAATTATATTGTTTATTGTATCGGTTCTGGTCAAATTCTTCAGTCTTTTTTTGTCAAATCAACTAGTGATTAGAATGAGGTGGGTTAGCCTATTATTGAGGTAATGGGGCTTGTAATTGGAAGTGAAATTTATCTGTTTTGTTATGTCAGTTTCACAGAGTGACGGTTGGCTGTGTTAATATCAGTAATGCGGTATAGGCCAAAACAGAGTTTCTTCAGAATTATTATGAGTATACCTTTTTGTCCATTTTTTCTCTGTATTTTCGCATCAATCATATATAATGAACTGACGCAGTTGAAAAAACTGAAGAAAATTGCTTGTCAGCTATAATTGCACCACCTAGCTCAATCTGTTACAAATAGAGATTTATTTAGTGCAAAATGCCTGCTGATCAAAATGTCTTCTTTTTGAACTCATTTATGATGAATACTGAGCGAATATTACATTCACCTGCCTGTTTGTTGATTGCGTTAAGCTTCCTTTCAAAGATATTGTTCTAACTAGTACTTGCTTATACGTAGAGGTTAGTAGTAGCTCATAAAATTCGATCGAGTACAGACAATTATATGAATTTGTCTATAAATGCTAACACGAAGCTTGCTACTTGATTCATGAATCATGCGCATGTACAAAAAGGACTATCTGTTATGGTTTTATGCACACACCTGGATTATTTAAGCAAATATGATATGCATGGTTGGCTGCTGTTTGCAATGAACACGTCATGGACATTATTAATATGGAAAAGGGTGAGAGGACCATTGCGTCAACAGAGAACAGTGAAATATTATTTCATGGAAAGGTGCACAATCGATGAAGGAAGTCATATTATTCGGAGGATTTTCTTGTTCAGCATAGTGAAATAAGTCTTTAGGTGCATTCAGTCAATTGGTTAAAAGCAATCGGCAAGAAGGTTTTGATACAGGTTTCATGCTTGTTCGCAGTCGATGATAAGACATATCTGGAACCTCGAAGGAATTGATGTATGCCCAGAGATTGGAACCCATTTTAACTAGTATTACAGTCATTGATGTTACCACTGAGCTATTCACGTATCAACTGACCTTCTGTAGGGCTGAATTAAAAACTTCGGTCGGTCACTGCAAAGCAAACAATTCTGAGTTGTCTAGTCCTATGTGCTGGCCGGGTCTTATCGATAAGCTCATAATGTGGTCAATAAACTAGGAAGCTTCCGATTGCGGTTCACTTTGATGAGTGTTAGTTGGTTGGAGGCAATCATCAGGGCATGAAATTATTTGTTCTCCAGTAACTATTCTATCCATCTTATTTCCAGAATATCTATCACGCTTACGTTTTACTTCGCAAATATCCTGAATTTCTATAAGTAAACTGAAAGACTTTAAAATTTTCAGTTCATTGATTTCAATTTCAGAGACAAGAAATATTTTAAAGTATCGACGGTTTGAATTCATACTTTTGGTTAAAATTGAATATCCCGTAGATACAGGAAAAAAATAATGCTGGGAAAAACGATTCTGACCATCTGGAAACACTTTAAATGTTTCAGTCTCACAGTAATCAATCTTCTCAACGCTGGTATTATTGGTCATTTATAAATCAACAAACGAAATACTAAGCTTCCGAACACTGACTATGGATTCGTATGTTTGTTATCATAATTTTTCACTTTGGATTTCATGATTATTAATGTTAAAAGCAATAACTTTATGTGTAGAATATTTATCATTATTTTTCAAAGTTACGAAGTGCTTTCAGATATTCGTACTAAACCTATATATATATATATATATATATATATATATATATATATATATATATATATAACCTTCAGTTAACTAGGATTCATATTTTTTTCCTTTTTGGAACTACTAGCGGGGAAATGAACCCTAACAGCCACTTATTTGTAATGTCATGGTACTCACCAATAGGGTTGTATATATGGAACTTACTATTCATCAGTAACCTCTTGGAAATATTACCGATAAAGCATCGAACTAGATTAAAAGTTCTCATGAGTTACTCAACCAACAAACAATATTGCCATGCACAAATGGGTAAAGAGGTAGGTAAACTATAAATGACTGAAGTCAATGGTCTTGTATTTCGATGAGTTTGGTAGTGTGAGTTAATACGCCCCATCGCTACATTCCTGTTTGTTTTTTCAAAAGGAGATGCTCGGTACAGTATTAGAAACCTGTGATACAAATACTTTCACGAAACCGAAAAAATATTTTCAACGTATAGAAGACGAGAGAACAATTTTTTTAGCGGAAATATGTCAGTGTTGGTGACTAGTTGGCTAGTTAATACATTCCGGAACAAAGCATCCCTTAGACGGGAAAAACAAAGTGTTACACTCAATGTACTCGTTTTCGTTCATGCATTGGTGTCAGTCCAATAGCTAGTAACAAAATATGAATCATTTACCAACTGCTTTATCTAGTAAGACAGTTAGTCTCTACTTTTGATGTTGTAAGCTTAGTAGTTAAGCTTAGTGTAACATGAGTTCTCTTTCGAATCAAACACGTTGTTGCACTTTCAGAGAAAATGACCTTCAGATGCCGGACAATTTTCAAATGAGGCTATTAATTTCTGTGGTGCTGCATTTAATAAGGTGGATGGTTTAACCATAAAGTTGGCACTGTTGCCCTCCCAGCATTATCAGTACTACCAGGAATGTTTTGAGTCTGTCTTAGTCTGTCTTAGTAGATTGGTGTGTGAATGGCTAGTTGTTTGGCCTTTCCATTAGTGATCTGATATTTACTGATTGGTCATTTCTGTGTTTGACCTCTGACGTCATAGGTGTCGATCATTTTCTTAACTGTTGGATACGCTGGATCTATATGTATCCACATTTTTGTTGTTGATTAACCCTGGTGCCAAGCTTCTAGCACATTCTTTGTATTCTGGATCACGGTGCAATAATGAAGCATGAGATCACCAGCTATTAGCGACATCAGATTTAAATGTTTTCAGAGGATAATATGTAACAGTTAAAAGTGTCTAAACACCTATGTAGTGCCATCTGTCTATCAGGACGGTTAAGAAAGAACTTTTCATTGTTTAAGATTCACCTTTTTGAAACCAAGTCAGCAAATGTTTCCTTGTCTGCGAACAGATTTACCTAATCCTGCCTTCTATGTAAGTTGTTTCACACGAACAGCTGATGTAACATACCCAAGATGAGTATCTGAAATTAGTTAGGAAATATGATATGAAACTAGCTGACGAGAAATATTCCCCTATCCAGTGTGTGGTAGTGATATGTTCTCAGCTCAGTCCGTTGCGCAGAATTGTCTTTGCCACTACACATGAATAAACCATGCTCAAAACGTCATCTAGCGAACCAAATTGTAACACTATGTGCTATATCAAATAAAGTTATTCAGTATATAATTATGCTCTACACTAATGCCCGAATTTCTAAAGGCGAAAACTAACAAGTTGACAGAAGAGGCAGCAAAAACGGGACTTCAATTGAATGTATAGAAGACGAAGGTGATGAAGATATCAAACCAACAACAGCATACAAACAAGCAACAATCACTGTTACCGGGAGGAACCCAAACGACGTTGTCTCCTTAACCTACCTAGACAAGGCAGCATCGTTTCAAATACAGGCGGTATAGTCGAGGATATCAAAGCCAGGATGGGAAAGACAGCAAGATAAGCCTCCCTTCATAAATCTGAAATCAGTGTGGAGATCTACTGCACTGCACTGCACTGCACTGCACTCATCTCAGCATAACGCGTGAACAAAATACGGATTTTCAACACCATTATCAAGTCAGTGCTGCTATATGGTTCAGAAACTTCACGCGTCACAAAAAGCATTTCCAACAAACTATAGACAGACATCATCAACAGCTGCTGTCTACACCCACTCGATACTGAATATCAGATGAGATGACTAGAACAAGAAGAATAAGCAACAAGCAACTCAGTCTGGCTGGTTGGCTGGCTGGCAAAGAACCAACTAACAACCTATCACCCAACAGATATGCAGAAGAAGGAAGTGGGGATGGATTGGGCATACACTGAGAAGGTCGATTGGGGACATCACGCACCAGGTCAGGCCGTCGAGTGGAACCCAGTGGGTAAAGGACGAGTTTGGTGTCAGAGGTGAGGGTGATATGGAGGAGATAGTGTGAGGAAGAAATGAAAGTTTGTGGGTAGAGGTGGAGTGAGGTTGAAAAGACTGTGTAGAGACGAGTGCAATGGAGGCGTGCTATTGGAGGTGTATGTTCCACTGGGAACCCAAGGGAAAAATAATAATGTAATAACAGTACACGAATTTCTACGCTTATCTATGCTTTTTTAATATTTTTCTTATGGCATATATTTAGATAGCATTTATATGCAAGTGTCAAAAAAACTGATATTTTCGCGTTTAATTTATAAAATTCTTAAGCGAAAGTATTTTCATTTTCACTGTTTCCATAAATATTTTTAAAAAATTACGTCTTATTAAGTTTTTTTCCTCATGTTAGAAAAATTTAAAAATCCTACTGATTTCGCTGAATATAATCATCTTCAGGTCTTTTAGATATCGAAGCAAACTATCGAGTTAGATAAATATGTATAACTGTACTGTATAGTTTATTTTATATTCAAGATAAGTATTAAAAGTTATTCCCTCACTCTAGAAACTAGAAAGGTGAAATGTGCTAATTTAATTAAACAAATTCTGTCATTTTTAATTTTGCATCATCAAGAATTTTTTTCATCCCTTTCAGCAATATTCTGTTTCTCTACTACAAGCAGTTATTGTATGTAATTAAACCAATTCAAATGAACAAGATAGATTTTCCTCAATCCCACTACAACTTAACAATTAATCCTGTTCTATATTAGAATCTCTTATATAGAACAAAATGGTTGATTCCATATTAGATTTGTTTATTTGATATATAGGGCACAGTGATGCAGTATTATTTACTTGATTACGTTTCGAGCATAAATTATTACTGCTCATAATCATATCAGTGTAATCACACTTCTTTCGATATCTGGCATCGGTTGATGAAATCATGTTAGGAGTGCAGTTATGCTTGACCTCCACAGTCTTCAAGTTTCAGGGAAAGATATATAGACAAACAGAAGGAGTAGCCATGAGATTACCAATATCCCATATAGTAGCAGATATATTTTTGGATAGTTGGGAAGATATGGCTTTACGAACATATAATCCGACACCTAAGATATGGTGGCGATATGTGGCTGACACATTTACAGTGTTGAAATTAGAACATATCGACAGTTTCTTGACATACATAAACTCAGTAGTTAACGCAATCCAATTCACTACGAAGTAGAAAATGAACAAGGAGAATTACCTATGTTGGATTGCAGAATAAAACGAAAGATAGATGGTGGTTTAGATACTACCGTCTACAGAAAACCAACACATTCTAACAGGTATCTAGACTTCAAGTCATCTCATCCAGTGTCAGTTAAAGCGGGTTTAGTCAAATGTCTAAATAACAGAGCTAAGAAACTCACTAGTCATTGTAAGGACTTAAATAAGGAATTGAAACACATAAAAGAAGCGTTAATAATTAATAATTATCCCCATCATTTTATTAAGAAATTCACACAAACACATAAGAAGCAAAATAATAACACTAATACAAATACAAATAATAGTGACAACATAAGTAGAAAGGAAATCAGCACCTCTATTGTGATACCATACAAGGAAGGAACATCAGAAACCATACGTAGGATTCTCAACAAGGTTGGAATTAGGGTGGCATTTAAACCAACAAACTCACTTAGAGGTAAGCTTTGTCGGCTAAAAGATCCGATAGAACCAATTAAGCAAAATAATATAACCTACCAAATTCCATGTAATGACTGTGAAGTCAAATACATAGGTCAAACTAGCCGGTCGGGGTCAGTTAGATTAACAGAACATAGGAATTTAGTTAAACATAGAACGGCAGACCCCAATAAGATCGATAACCTAGAAAAACACTCAGCCATTGCATTACATTCATTAACACACAACCACACAATAGGATGGGACAAAACCACTGTACTTAAGTCTAATATAGCTAGGTGGAGAGAGAGATTAATTACTGAATCTTTGTTCATCGAATCCACACCCAACACATGTAATAGGAATGACGCAACACCTATACCAGAGATATGGAAAACTTTACTACCAATCAAAAAACAAAAAACAAAGAGAGATCAGGTGACAGGACTATAAAATCAGATATCGAAAGAAGTGTGATTACACTGATATGATTATGAGCAGTAATAATTTATGCTCGAAACGTAATCAAGTAAATAATACTGTATCACTGTGCGCTTTATATCAAATAAACAAATCTAATATGGAATTACATTCTACCACAGTGCCCAAGTTTTACACTTATAAAAATGGTTGATTCTCTAATGGGTGTACGATTTATTTAGTGACTTACCCCGTAAAGCATTATTTATTCAGATGACGTTTTTAATTGAGTACAGAAGTATTTGTTACTAACCAGTATAGTAACGAAACCTTTCGTTACTTCACGCCTTGGAGATAATCTGAAATAAAATTTATCAAATATGAATAATTTGAATGTGGATAGCTTAGGTACACAGTGTGAATAAATGTACTAGAAAGAAGTCATAAGATGATGGTAGT